TCCCCTTTTTTGGCCCCTACCTGCGCGTTGGAGTTATATAGGCTGACCGTCGTTTCATTTGAACGAAGTTTTTTTTTTTCGCCAGGGACACTAGATGAGTATCGTTTATTTTATTCATTAGAGTCCTATGTAGTCACTTTATAGTTAGAGCCTATTTGTGTATGTGTACTGTGTTGTCCTTTATGTGCTGATGAAGGCTAATCGCCGCAACGTCCTCTGTTTGTTTATTGTGATCGATTTTGTAAAGCTAACATAAACTAATTGTTGTTTCTTACCAACTTTTTCTCTTCCCTATAATTTTCTACTCCTTATAAAAACTTCTTTATTAGGGTGATGCTTCTCAATGTGAGAAGCAACAGTTTCCCATGCTTTTAACATTTTTCTTATTTTGCGAGAAGATTGTTGCTTTTCTGTTATCCCCTCCTCTAACAAACTTTCCTCCAAAACCTTTTGCTGTGAAACACAATGCAACTCCATCAGCTCTTGGGTGGTCAGGTCTTGGCTGTGCTCTTCCACAAGCTCTTCGATATCACTGTTATCCACCTACAATCCCATGATAGTGGCCAAAGACACAATCTCGTTGAGCTCTTCGATATCACTGTTATCCACCTCCAATCCCATGATAGTGGCCAAAGACACAATCTCGTGGAGCTCTTCGATATCACTGTTATCCACCTACAATCCCATGATAGTGGCCAAAGACACAATCTCGTTGAGCTCTTCGATATCACTGTTATCCACCTCCAATCCCATGAAAGTGGCCAAAGACACAATCTCGTTGACTACAGGTTCCATAGGTACTGTCTCGAACCCCTCAAAGTCACAAATCGACAACACTCTCCGGCCAAAGTTTCTTCCAAGAAGAAGTTAGGATTCTCTTGGTAACCCCTTCCCCCGCCTTGTCGGTCATCTTGAGGCAGACAACGATGTAGAAGTGATTTTTCCAAAACACTTTGAGAGTGAGATTGGTCCCTTCAGTCACCTGAAAACAAGAGTTCTTTAGTGTAGAGCTTCTTAAAGTTCGAAATAACTTGCTGGTCCATGTGCTGGAGTAACGGAGTGGTGTTTGGAGGTAGAAACTGGATCTTGATGAACTTAAATTCATCAGGAAGGTCATCATAGCCCTGGAGGATTCATGCTCATATATCACAATCGAACACAAGTTTGAGAAAATATGAGATCACAAGCGACACTACGATTCTACTGGAACGAGTGCTAAACACAGACTGGTGTAACATGCGCACAATTCGGGACTTTTCCTCTCCTCGCCACTCGTTATGCGAAACGTCGCTCGTTAAGCGAGTCATTTTTTTTACAATTTGTTTTGCTCGTTATGCGAATTACTCGTTATGAGAGGTGCTCGTTAAGCGAGGTTCTACTGTACATATTAAGACATTAGCTGAGAGAGTGAGAGCATCTATGGGTATGATCGATGTGTTTTGATGTCGAATCTTAAATCAGTAGTCAGTACTTGAAATACCTAACAATTGCAAGTGAAGAAAACTCACGCGCTGGTTTATCCTTACTAAGGAATAAAATAGATAGATAGAAAGTTACAGCAAGGCATGCAGTCATGTGGACAGTAGGAAGGAGTGTATGGGCTGGACAAAGAAGCAAATATAAAAACATGCATATAATATACACGTTTGTAGGCAGATATAGATAGACCGATAGACCGATAGATAAACAGACGGACAAACTGATCAAAAGATATACAGACAGGCAGACAGACAGACAGACAGACAGACAGACAGACAGACAGACAGACAGACAGACAGACAGACAGACAGACAGACAGACAGACAGACAGACAGACAGACAGACAGACAGACAGACAGACAGACAGACAAAAAGCGAACACTTCCGTGACAAATCACTACCATTCCCCTGTCACAACACAATTAATGACGCGGCTTCCCCTTGTATTCCGCCATCAACAGCAATCATCTGTCTGTGTTTATCTCCCATCTCTCACGTCCTTGACCAGGGCCAGTGACGAGTGCACTGGCTGTCAAGGGTCAAATTCACTGAGCGAGATAAGCGAATTGTTTATTGTACTACTATTAATCGGTGTTCCAGCGGAGCCGCATGGGTACAAGTGAGAAGTCTGGAATGTCCGCTAGACCAGTGTTCTTCAATCTGTAGACCGCGGGCTCACTGGTAGGCTGCCAACAAGTCTAGTTGGGCCGCCACAAATATTAATCTCTGTATAGCTATCAGATTGTTGGTGGGTTTTTGGATTCGTTTTCCACTTTCTGTGTGTGTGAACAGATCTTTTCAACCACATAACTAATTTTAAAAAAATTAAATAGAACTCATGTTACTGCAGCACTTCGTCTATCAGAAACATCGCTCTAGCCATGCATATAAGACTTTCTTAACTGGTGCAGCATACGGACGGACGTCGTGGACTACCTCTCAGTCGCTAAGAAAGAAAACAGGCTTTTGAGCTGAAAGATTCTCGGGCCCGGCTCTCTAGCGTAATTGGCTAAACCGGATT